CGCAGCTCTGGAACACCTTTAGGGGAGCGAGGCAATTTGTCCAGGGCGCTCCTTTGCACGAAGTTCAAGCCATCGGTCTCGAACTCCAACACCACCGGCAGCGAGCCGCCCATATGTACTGCAATAAGCTGAATCATGATGACTCCTATATAGAGAGGTTGGTGGTGCCGCCAGATGCCGGACCTTGAGTGACAACTGATGCGTGCTGCTGTTTCCACTGAGTGACCAGCCCTGCCATTTCCTCGGCAGCGCTGGGACCTTGCGCACGGGCAACAATCAGCGCCTGGCGTTCGTGGGACTTTTTCTGGCGCGCGGCAGCCTGCGGCGTGATGCAGCCGGCGTAGGCGCCAATGACGGATATGCGGCCGTGACCCATGGCCTCGGTCGTTGCCTTGTAGGCCTGACGCTGTTTCACAGGATCTGGGTGTTGACCGTCACCACCACGAACCGTGGGCTTGATGTCGAAGCTCTCCAGCATGGTGATGGCGAACCCGGCGCGCAGGCCGTGGCCGGTGATACCGAGGTCTTTTTGCGTGATGCCGCACTTTTTCAGGACGCGTTCATATGTCTGTGCGTTCTGCTTGAGCGTGAACTGTGGTGGGCCAAAGCTATCCCGGTCACCAAAATTCCGCATCTCTTTGAGAATCGTGTGCGCAGCCTCTTTGGCGGCATGGTTGTCAGCAGCAATGTTCACCACGCGCGGGCGCTTGCCCTTGGTACCGCGGATGATGGAAATATCCACCCCGGCGACCCACTCGCTCCAGTGCAATTCGGTCATATCGCGTTTGACCGGGCGTCCCTTCCTGTCCAACTGGGCTGGATCTGCCGGGACGTAGACGGGCTTGATGTCATCGAGTGGCTGAAACATCAGCACTTCCGTCCTGCGATGCCCGAAGTTGTGCTGGCACCACAAGGCCAGTCCGACCCAGCGTTCGATCTTCATGACCTCGATAATTTTTTTGTCGATGTCGACGCCGGCTGCCTGCCAGGACTTGTCCCGCTCGGCGATCAGCGTGCGTTTGCAGACATCCTTGCCGAGGGCCTCATTGAAAACAGGCACCAGCTGCTGCTTTCCAATCCACCGCGCCAGATGGCGGGCATAGGTGGCGTAGCCGGCTGCCATGGCCGCGCCAATCTCACCGGCCTCCCTTTTGGCGCGAATGTGCCCTGCGAGCGCCACAAAGTGACGTTCGTCGAGCGCGTGAGGGTTGGACAGACCGCTGAAACCGAGCTTTTGCCGAAGCCAGCCAAAAATCCGCTGCACGTTCTGGTTGGCTTCGATCTGGGTACGGTTGGACGTTGGCCGGGATGGATCGCGCGCCTTGGTGACACTTTTCTCTGCAACCAGGCTGGCCACCCGTGCACGCCAGTTGCCGGTCTGGTCTCCAGAAAAGCTGCTGCGCCCGTTGAAGTTGAGGTGCTTCATGCGTCACCGCCTTCTTTTTTCTTTGCCGACGCTACCGTCTCTTTCGGGAAGATGGTGCGGTTGACATATGCCATACGCAGGGCGTACTTCTGGATGCTGGCGTCCAGGTCTAGCCCGGTCCAGGCGAGGGTCTTGCGGTTGCGCGCCTGCATGAAGTCACGCACCTCGAGCATCAACTCGCGGTGATCCTGGATGTGCGGGATGTTTCTCTGCTGGTTGCCCATACCAACGCGAAAGCTGGTGTTTCCACCTTCGACGACGCCCTGGACTGCATGGAACTCAAACTGGAAGGCAATTTCGCGCGTGACCTTGATCTCGCGGGTGATCCTGTCTACCAGGTAGTGAGTCAGGTCCGGTTTTGCACGGAGAAAGTTGCTCCGAGTGGCCACTTCATCACCACTGAGGACACGGTACCCTTGCAGTGTTTCGGCCTTCCTCTCAAAACCGGGCTCGTAATCTGTCAGCGGTCCGATCATCCCGTGCTTGCTCAATACCCGGGACCAGCCGCGCAAAACCGACCAGCGCACGTAAAGCGTGTTGGAGGCGCACCCTTTGGCTTTCCAGATGTCGAGCAAGGCTCTGGCGTGACGCAAACTGAATTTGGTGACGTCCTGGATGTCAAACCCTGCGGCTTTCAGTTCCTTGTAGAAGGACGCAATCACCACGACCCGGTTTTTGATGCTGGCGCGCGAGGGTGTGCTTCCGATAAAGCGGTGGTAGTTGGTCAGGGCTGCACGAATCTGCTCATCGCATGGAGCAGACGCTGCGAATGTAGGTTTCTCTTGTTCTTTTGTGCTGCAAGGGAGTGCATCGCCTCTGGTGCGAGACCAATGAGCGCGTGTGCTTGCCTTGTCGGGCGATTGAATGGGGTAGGCGGTGCCGCGTGGGCTCGATTCCCGCGACACATCCAGAAAACACTTTACGTCGGACATAGCTGCTCCTGCCAAATCAGGGGGAACGCCCCCTTGTCGGCCATCGCAGCTTTCTCTTTCGCACTTGTTGAGGTGTGTGCACCACCTGGCCGGAGCTCATGCATCAGGGAGGCCACCCTGATACCTGCCAAGTTGAACGGACCTGGGCCGTGGACGGTAACTTTTCTTCGAGGATTCTTGCACCAGCGTCCTCACGCCCCACTCACGTGGCCATCTATCCGGGTGTGTCACCCCAAACAGACGTGGACCGTATCGCCGGTTAACGCGTTCCCTTACCACTTAGCTCCCAACCCCTGTTTAGATACAACAGGGGCGCACGTACGACTGAAGCTGCAGGTGGCGGCTTCGTGAGCAGGTGGCTCGACGTATGTGTATGGCTGCATCACTGAGCAGGTGGCTCGGCGATGTAAGTGGTCTCGGGAATCCTCCTGTATGGAGGTAGCTTGACTTGTCGTTCTCGCTTTGTCCAAGCAAGGGCCCTTTATCCCCCGTCACGGCGCGGCGGCGGGGGGGTCGCAGTTCGCTTCAGAGCCCTTCGCAAGGGACCATCTGGGGCGCTTGGAAGGGGTTCTGAACCGCTGCAACAGGCTCGACTTTTTCCACAGTGATATGTGCGTTATCGGTTTTTATTGTTTCAATATCACCGGGAACGCACTTTTACACTGTGTTTTACAACACTCTCCTATTTGGAAAGTATTAAAAATCAGAATTTTCTAAAGAATCACCATAAGTGATTCTTCGGGTGAAGGACCTAGGTCCTTCGGGTAACCGTGGAGTGAACCACCAGGCGCCACTTAAACGTGAGCACAGACGTTTGCTGCGATAGCGAGATTAGTCTAGCACAGCGTTTGCAAATATGGCAAGACCAGTTGGCTCTGATTTCGAACAGTAACGAACACGTGTTAGCTCGACGTGTGGCAAGTCTGTGGCAGTTGTGTGGCAAGTACCTCTTTGGTGTGATCAGTACGATTGCGATCTTCATGATCTGCTGAAAGGTGCCACATTTCTGCCACAAACTTGCCACAGTTGATACTTGTTTATCGACAAAGTCGTTGGAAGATCAGCCAATCAATTTTTTGAAAGGGCTTCCAAATGAGCAATGTCTTGGCGATCGATGTGGGCTACGGCCACGTGAAATGGGTATCCATCAACAGCAATGGAGAAACCAAAAAGGGTATGTTTCCTTCTGTTGCCGCGATAACTACAAGGGATAGGTCCGGCGAAAGCAATGGAATGACCGGGCTCCGGACCGTGACGGTGAATGTAGGCGACCATAACTATGTTGTTGGCCGAGACGCCTATCTCGAAACCGACGCTCACTTCTCCAGAACCAGGCTGAGTGACTATTCCCAGACCAATGGCTATAGAGCCCTCATGCTCGGCGCGATGGTCATATCCGGGATGAGAGAAATCGACCAACTTGTCATTGGCCTGCCTCTTTCAACAATGGCGAGCTATCACGAAGTGCTCAAGGAGCAATACAAGGGCGAACATCTGGTCGGAGCGGCAAACGCGAAACGTAAAAACGCCATTACGGTGGAAAACGTGACAGTAACGTCGCAGCCCGCCGGCGCGATCCTGCACGCAGCCTCTGTAGATGAGACATTGCGAAAGAAAACCAGCCTCGTGATCGATGTAGGCTATTTCACCGTGGACTACCTGATGTGCCAAGGCCTGCGCCCGTATTACGCCAGGTCTGGGGCCGTAGAGGGTGGCATGAGCAGCTACTACGACCATCTTGGGGGTGCTGTTGTTGAGCAGATGGCCAAGGAAGACTTCGGCAAAAAATCCGGTGTGGACCACTTCCTGTTGGAAAAGGCTTTAACCGAAGGGGTTCGACTGGAAGACGGAAGCATGAAATACACCCTGATGGTGGGTAACAGGGCGCTGGATATCAGCGGTAGCGTCATGAAGTCCAAGATCAAGATTGCTGGCTACCTTGACCGGATAGTGACTGGTATGGGAAGCAATTCGTTTGACATGATCAACAGCATCATCTTGGCGGGCGGTGGCGGCGCTTTCCTGAAAAATGAGCTAAAGGAAAGACTAGGGAAAAGCCACGAACTTATTGAACTTAGCCAGGGCCAGTTCGCCATTGCGCAGGGATATGCCGCGCTCGGCGTAGTGTCGGCTAACAAACGCCTGGGCGTGGTGGCTTGAACGAGGCAATGAGCTGTGAAACAAGAAACATCAAACGACGAGTTGATTGAAATTCGAGGCAGGATCTACGCACGGCACCCGAGTTATGACCGCTGCCGATCGGCAAAGGAAGGGACAGCCTTCAAAACTCTTTTAGGTCTAGCGGATGAAGCAGTCATAGCGCGTAACAGGTTGGCCCAAATGGTAGGAGCCGGCCATCCACTCCACCCTACCCTTTCGGGCATGAACAGTGCAGAAGCGATCACGTATCTTCTGGGTGTCACCCAAAAATACATGCAACAGGCTTTCCAGGTTCCGAGTGACAAGCCCGCAGTTCCAGCGAGTGAACAAATTCGTCAGCCGTTTGCAGAGCCAAGCACGGACTCACTCAAGACCGTCCCTCTAGGGGGACGCGTCGAGCTCTCGACTGCAAAAGGTCTGGATCTTGATGACGAAACCTTCGATGCTTTTTCGACATTCTCAGCGACAACGGGCTGAATTTTCGCTTCAGAAAGAGCTGCTTTGTCACTCCAGCGCGGAATTGCGAACCATGCAAAATTGGGTCATAGCAACCCAAAAAGGAGCCTAAATGAAAGAACTTCTAAAAACCTATTCGATCCGAGCCCACGAAGCTTCCCGTGCATGCGACAACTACACCTGTGCTGCAGGCTTCAAAATTGGCCATCCCAATC